GATTGCGAAGAGCTTAAGATGCTGGCCGACACGAAGAACGCCCGAAAATTCTACCAGAGGGTTAGGCGACTAACAGAAGGTTTCAAGACCGCGACGAACTCCTGTAAGAACACAATGGCGACCTATTGACCGATGTGCAGAATATACTTAAATTATGGAGGGAATACAACCTACTGAATGGTAGCAGCGCTGGAAGTAGTGAAGAAGACGATCCCGTGTCCCCAGTCGATGATGATGGAGTAGCTGTCCCACCGCCTTACTATGACGAGGTACGAATTGCGATTACGCGGCTGAAAAACAACAAAGCTGCTGGAGCTGACGGCCTGCCAGCCGAGCTATTCAAGTACGGTAGCGAGGAGCTGATGAGGTGCATGCATCAGCTCGTCTGCAGAATATGGTCAGATGAAATCATGCCCAACGACTGGAATTTAAGTGTGCTCTGGACAATCCACAAGAAAGGCGACCCCGCATACGCGCCAACTACCGCGAAATCAGCCTTCTAAGCATAGGCTATACGGTTTTATCGAGTGTATTGTGCGAAAGACTGAAGCATACCGTCAACGAACTGATTGGACCTTATCAGTGTGGCTTTAGGCCTGGATAATCCACCATAGATCAGGTATTCACAATACGCCAAATCTTGGAAAAGACAGTACGAAGAGAAGTTGCCTTATGCCGCGATGTCTGAATTTGGTATCCCCGCGGAACTAAAACGGCTGTGTAAACTGACGCTGAGCAATACCACTACCTCCCTCAGAATAGGGAAGGACCTATCCGAGCCGTTTGATACCATACGAGGTTTCGTGTGGTTTCTTTAATCTGATGTTGGAGAAGATAATAAGAGCCGCAGAACTGAACTGCATAGGTACAATACTTTACAAGAGCGTACAATTGCTGGCGTATGCCGACGAATTCGATATTATCGGTAAAAACAAGGACTACGTCTGTTCTGCGTTCTCGGTATTGGATAGAGAAGCAAAGCGAATGGGTCTGGTGGTGAACGAGGACAAAACGAAGTATCTCCCGTCATCACATAAACAGTCTGAGCATACGCGCCTTGACACCCACGTCACTGTTGACAGTTAAAAGTTTAAAAAAGTAGACGACTTCGTTTATTTGGGAACCAGCATTAACACCAATAATAAGGTCAGCCTTGAAATCCAACGGAGAATCACTCTTGCCAACAAGTGGTACTTTGGGCTGAGTAGGCAATTGAGAAGTAAAGTCCTCTCTCGTCGTACAAAGATCACACTCTATAAGTCACTCATCATGCCTGTGCTGGTGTATGGCGCGGAGGCATGGATAATGAAAGCATCTGATGAGGCGGCTCTTGGCTTTTTTGAGAAAAAGATTCTGCGAAAGATTCACGGACCTTTACGCTTTGGTGATGGCGAATATCGCAGACGATTTAACGATGAGCTGTATGACCTTTACAACGATATAGACATAGTGCAGCGAATTGAAATTCAGCGGCTTCGCTAGCTTGACCATGTCGTTCGAATGGAAAGAAGCTGATCTGAAAATATTCAATTCGGGTCGCGATGCTGGTAATAGAGGAAGAGGAAGGCTTCCTCTGCATTGGAAAGACCAGGTGGAGAAGGACTTGGCTTCACTTGGCATTTCCAATTGGCGCCAGTTAGCACAGAAGAGAAATGACTGGCGTGCTGTTTTGGATTCGGCCAAAATCGCTTAGGCGGTTACAGCGCCAATAAGGAAGAAAATGCTTTGCATTGATGCAACTTGCAACTCTACCATTATTTGCATCTATATGTATGCATGTATGTACATACAAATATGCCTTTTTTAATTTCAGGGTTGCACCTGTCACCCGATCGTGAAAATTTTAAAAAGCGCCTTTCAAAAGTTCGGCGTGTTATTGAAAACGCTTTCGGAATAAGGACAGCACAATGGAGAATTTTGCTATCCCCATTGCAAACGCAACCATTAAACGCAGAGAGTATCGTGAAAGCAACGGTGCTGCTACATAATTTTGTAAAGCTAAACGATGGTAGCTATTGCCCACCTGAATATGTCGATCGATATGAAGGAGATTAAATGGATTATGGCGCCAAGAAATCTCAACACCCCTTCGAAGAACTTGTCGATTAATGTCAAGAAGTACTTTCATGTTAAGAGATCAGTTGAATGGTTATGTAGCCACGCATCCTTTTTAATTAAACACACTCCTGTTTAATTAAGTCACTCATGTAAGATACAGTTGCATACAATAGAAGTATTAGTAAGCGGTAAGTACATAACTCTTCTGTGGACTCATTATAATACATCACTGAATTTTTGATATTATTTTGCTTTTTTACCAGAGACCCAAAATAATAATTATTTCATGGTGGAGTTTTAAAAGAGTCACCCAAATTATTATGTGTCATCGATAACTATTATTTTAAGACTAATATAATAGAAGTCTTTCCAGAATAATTATCAGCGAGATTAATATTTTTAAATCTTCAAAAACTTTTATTTTGAGACTTATATTATAAAAGTCTTTTGATAATAATTATGAGTGCGAAAAAATTTTGTATATAGTCCCGAACTGGTCCCAACCTAGCCCCGAACTGGACCCCAACTAATCCTGAAATGCTCCTGAACAAGTCCCGTCTTTTAAGACTTAAACATTTTTTTCGCGCTCATAATTATTATGAAAATACTTTTATAATATAAGTCTTCAAATAATAGTCTTTGCAGACTTAAAAATATTTATCTCGCTGATAATTATTATGAAAGCACTTTTATAATATAAGTCTTTGAATAAACATTATAGATGACTCTCAAATATTTATCTTAATATAATGATTATTGATTGACTTTTATTCTTTTCTCTTATAATAGTTATGTCTCTGTTTTTTACGAATGTTTATCAGATGGCAAGGCATTGGTGCATCAACTTCAAGTTAATTATATTCACCAGCTCATACAGGCACGCGTAGTAGAAAATCCAAATGCACTAAGCGAGGTATATTACTGTTTGCACTACTTTTGTCAGTCTCTGCAGCTAAAAGTACCTTACACACAAACGCGACGTCTCAGCTATGAACGTTTGGATGACAATATTGCCATTGAAGAATATGTACCAGGTGTGAAAATAATTGCGCACACCGGCATGCTAAAGTGCCACGTGCCAAAGCATCTGGACTGCCCCATTATGCCCGAAATATAAACTTTCTTCAACGCCGATAAAAGTTAATTCCAGAAAATTATGTCCGAACTAAGGTAACTATGCTTTCCAGCCTTTATCAGCGGCTACAACCGAGATATAACCCTTCCTAACGTTGCCGGATAATCTGTTTATGCAAATCGGACGACATAAAATTTACGTTAAATTGCATCGACATCTCAATGTTACCAATGTACCCCTATTCTGCAACACTTTCGTATTCGGATTTTTCGGATCAGCCTTGAAATCCAACGGAGAATCACTCATGCCAACAAGTGGTACTTTGGGCTGAGTAGGCAATTGAGAAGTAAAGTCCTCTCTCGTCGTACAAAGATCACACTCTATAAGTCACTCATCATGCCTGTGCTGGTATATGGCGCGGAGGCATAGACAATGAATGCATCTGATGAGGCGGCGCTTGGAGTTTTCGAGGGAAAGATTTTGCGAAAGATTTACGGACCTTTACGCGTAGGTGATGGCGAATATCGCAGACGATTTAACGATGAGCTGTATGACCTTTACTACGATATAGACATAGTGCAGCGAATTAAAATTCAGCGGCTCCGCTGGCTTGGCCATGTCGTTCCAATTGACAGAAACGCTCCTGCTCTGAAAATATTCAACGCGGGCCGCGATGCTGGTAACAGAGGACGAGGAAGGCTTCCTCTGCGTTGGAAAGACCAGGTGGAGAAGGACTTGGCTTCACTTGGCATATCCAAGTTAGCACAGAAGAGAATGCTTTGCATTGATGCAACTTGCAACTCAACCATTATTTGCATCTATATGTATGTATGTATGTACATACAAATGTGCCTTTTTTATTTCAGGATTGCACCTGTCACTCGATCGTGAAAATTTTAATAAGCGCCTTTCAATAGTTCGGCGTGTTATTGAAAACGCTTTCGGAATAATGACAGCACGATGGAGAATTTTGCTATCCCCATTGCAAATGCAACCATCAAACGCGGAGAGTATCGTAAAAGCAACGGTGCTGCTACATAATTATTTAAAGCTAAACGATGGTAGTCGAAGATGAATATGTCGATCGATATGAAGGAGACAATAGATTAAATGGATTATGGCGCCAAGAAATCTCAACACCGCTTCGAGGAACTGGTCGATTAATGTCAAACAAGGCTTCAAGAAGTGCTTTCATGTTAAGAGATCAAATGAATGGTTATGTAGCCGCGCATCCTTTTTAATTAAACACACTCCTGTTTAATTAAGTCACTCACGTAAGATACAGTTGCATACAATAGAAGTATTAGTAAGCGGTAAGTACATAACTCTTCTGTGTACTCATTATAATACATCACTGAATTTTTTATTTTATTTTGCTTTTTTACCAGAGACCCAGAATAATAATTATTTCATGATGGAGTTTTAAAAAAGTCATCCAAATTTTCGTAAGAATTATAAAAGTCTTTTGATAATAATTATGTGTCATCGATAACTATTATTTTAAGACTAGAATAATAGAAGTTGTTCGGGGAAGACAAGCGTTTTTGTCTACCTCTTTGCCTTTCTATACAAAGAACTGCGATGCAAAAAAAAAGTGCCTCTCAAAAACTGGTTGACAACAAGCGAACGAATTGCTTTATTGCATTAACATGTGTGCTATTTATACAAGCTAGGGTGACAGAATGTAAAGAGCAAATTCCAATAGATAACAATGAGCGCGAGTTAACATAACATATATCGTATAATTACAAATGATCTTACGCTCGTCGCTTTAAGCTGGGGACAGACTTAGTTAAGTATGGCATCTAAATCTCGTAGCTATGATCTGGACATACTCCCCCCGTTGAAAGCCGTAGGTGCTTTTAACTTATTCAACTGGTAGTAAGCAAAGCTTTGTGATGGCCCGTTGAGTAGTCCCATTTATGGTACGAATGATCGCCACTCGTGCTATGCCATCCTTTCCCTTCACGACGTCAACGATACGCCCCATTTGCCACTTCATCGTTGGAAGATTGTCATCCTTCAAAAGTACCAGAGAATTTACCGCTACGTTTGGTGATCTTTTCCGCCACTTGCTACGCTCTTGCAAAAGTGTTAGATAGGCAGTGCTCCAGGTCTTCCAGAATTGTTGCTGAATGCGCGTCATCCTTTGACAGTGGCTAAGCCGGTTTAATTCTATATTCGCTAGGTCAGGTTCCGCCATAGCCGTAAGTGCGCCTCCGGTTAGAAAGTGTGCTGGAGTTAGAACTTGTAAGTCGTCAGGGTTTCGAAGTTCTTCGAAACTCAACACAGTGAGCCCTACTGCCCTACGGAAGTAGAATTTTGCCATTTTAACGGCGGCCTCCCACAATCCTCCGAAATGGCGGGATCGAGGTGGAATAAAGCGCCAATCAATTCCGTCATCAAGACATTGATTTTGCACTGCGTTGACATGATGCTCATTAAGCAAAAGTGTGCGAATTTCTTTTAATTCGTTTTTAGCTCCAAAGAAGTTGGTAGCGTTGTCTGACCAGATAACTCTTGGTTTGCCGCGCAAGCTAACAAATCGCTTAAGGGCCGCGAGGAACGAGGTCGTTGTTAAGTCCTTAACCAGTTCTAAATGACAAGCCTTGGTTGAGAAGCAAAAGAATATGCAGATGTAGCATTTCACAGGTGGCCTATTCCGCACATCAGGCTTATAACAAAACGGGCCACAGAAGTCGACGCCAGTAGTGTAGAAGGGGCGTTGCATCTGAACGCGTTCTGCTGGCAATTCACCCATGATATTCTGCAATAACTTCGGTTTGGCGCGAAAGCACTGAATACATTTGTTAAGTACGTGAGCTACAGCTTTCCTCCCTCCAATAGGCCAATATTGCAGACGAATGGTTGCAAGTAACGCTTGGGGTCCGGCATGCAATAGTTTGCGATGATAGTGCTCAATGATACTTCTAGTAAGTGGATGGTATCTGGGCAGTATGATCGGATGTCTGGCATTGAAACTCAAACTTGAGTTTTGAAGGCGTTCTCCAACACGAATCATTCCACCGGAGTCTAAAAACGGATTCAATGAGCTGATTTTGCTTGATGACTCAATCGAACGTCCAGCCTTAAGTGATGCATACTCCTTTGGTAGAGAAGCCATTTGAACCATCCGAATGAGCAACTTAGTCCCAGTTTCGATTTCGTCTAAACTTAGTAGAGCCGATATCTTCTGAATCGATGATCTTCCTTTAATAAAACGGTTAACAAAAGCATAAATTCTCTGCATAGATCGAAAATTGTTAATATATTTGCAGTTTACGGAGTAATCTACCACCTGAGATGATGCGATTAGCATGGTACGCCGTTTCTCTAACGAAGTGCTTTCGAACTTTGCCAGCTTGGGCCATTCACACTCCTCCTTTTTCAGGAAGACGGGCCCGTGTTTCCACAGTGACGACGACATTAGCTCACTGGGTGGGCAACCTCTAGACGAAAGATCTGCAGGGTTACACTCCGTAGGGACGTGTCTCCAATTCATGCCCTGAGTAAGAACTTGGATGCTACTGACTCGGTTGGCCACAAATGTATTGTAATTTGCTGCAATGCCATTTATCCATGAAAACGCAATTGTTGAGTCTGACCAGCAAACAAATTTTCCTGTAAATGGGCCCAGCCTTTGTATTGAAGAAATCAGATCAGCCAACAATTTACCCGCACAAAGTTCCAACTTCGGAATCGATAAAGATTTTAGTGGTGCTACTCGGGATCTAGAGCAGAGCAGGTTTACATGCACGACATTATGCAGTTTTACTCGAACGTAAACGCTCGCTCCGTACGCTGCCATACTAGCGTCACAAAATCCATGCATTTGAGCTTCGCCCGCACCAAGTTCTACAAAACGGGGAAAGTAAATTTTGTCCACAAAATTCAACTCGTCGCACAATTTTGTCCATGCAAATTGTAAACACGACGGAAGGCTTTCATCCCATGCTAAATTTTCTTTCCATAAGCTTTGCAAAAAGACTTTCGCTTTTAACACCACCGGACCAATTAGACCAAGAGGATCATAGAAACTAGCGGTTACTGACAGCACGCTTCGTTTTGTTACCCGTCTGGGTGGAGGGGGTAAGCTAAATGCGAATTGAAGTTCATCCCTTTTAGGGTCCCAAACTATACCTAAAGCCTTTGTGATGCCATTGCCGTCACTGAACTTTAAATATTGTTGCCCATTAGATAACTAAATTCCTTGAAGGATCTTTTCGTTGAACACCACTTTCTAAGTATGAAATTTCCCTTTTCCAGAAGTTTTTGTGTTTGCGTCATTATTTGCAATGCTACATTTTCTGACCTTCCCCCCGAGATAAGGTCATCCACATAGAAATCTCTCAAAACTATCTCTGATCCTAGAGGATAATTGCATGCCTCATCAAATGCCAACTGATGCATCGCCCGAATGGCTAAGAATGCCGCTGGTTTGGTTCCGTAGGTCACAGTGTCCAATCTATAAATTCGATAATCCTCCTCTGGCCACTCACGCCAGAGTATGCACTGTAAAAAACTGTCGTTTTCGTCCACCTTTACGCACCTGTGCATTTTGCAAATATCTGCTGTTATAGCGATTTTGTGGGACCGAAACCTCAAAAGGGTGTCAACAAGCTTTGGTTGTATGGTAGGACCAGAAAGTAAGATATCGTTTAACGAAACGCCTGTGGAAGTCGGAGCAGAAGCATCAAAAACCACACGAAGTTTAGTTGTGGTGCTATCTCCTTTCAATACACAATGATGCGGAAAAAAAATTATGTGAACCCCGGGGGGAATAGTTTCAATCAACGACATATGCTTAAGTTCTAAATACTCCTTAATGAAGGCAGTGTATTCCGCTTTCAAATCCGGATTCTGTGAAAATCGCTTCTCTAGACCTCTAAATCGACGAACCGCATTTGAATAAGAATCACCTAGATTCGAAATGGTGGATTTTATTGGTAATCTAACTACGTATTCTCCTGTATCCAACCGACGAAAATTACTAACAAAGTGGTCCTCACATACCAGGTCCTCTTTGGTACGCTTTATGTTTTCCTGAGCACAGAACTTTTGACTAAATCGTTTAATGAAGTGTCCGCGTAGTTACTTGAAGTTGCAGCGCAGACTACTGCTTTCGAAGACCCGACTTCGACCTTTCCTGCCACAATCCATCCTAGTCTTGTTTTTTGCAATATTGGAAGGCCTTGTTTCAGACAAATTTGCCCCACGCATAACAGTTCGAAGAATAAACTTACACCAATTAATAAGTCAATCTTCTGTGGGCGAAAAAATGAAGGATCTGCTAACTGGATATTTGCCGGAATATTCCACTTAACGTTCGACAAATTTGTCTCAGGCTGCAATGTTGTGATGGTTGGCACAATGACAGCCGAAAGCGATTTGGAATAGGACCCATCAGAGGCCTGCATGTACAAGACAACGTTTTCCTTTGATAAAATATCAGATGCTCCTATTCCCGAAATTATTGTTGTGGATTTAGATTTGCTAAGTTGCGAGCGATTGGCCATATCAGAAGTTATACAATGCAATTGCGATGTGGAATCAAGCAAGACTCTACATGGAACGAAGTTCCCATGGCGATTTTTTAGCATAACGACAGCAGTAGCTAGCATAGCCTGCTCCTTAGACACGAATGCAACAGGCTGCTTGGAGTCTGCAATAAGAGCCGTTTTTGTCTCCGGAGATGCGACTGCCTCCTCGAGAACAGGAAGAGCGATTGACGACAAGTGAAGCAAGGTATTGTGTTTGCCTGAACAACTTTTGCAATTGCTGGATTTGCAATTTTTCACGATATGGCCTTTTCGCAAACAGTTAATACAAAGCTGTAACCTTTTGGCTTCCTTGAAGCGCAGCGAAGGTGATAGATTTAGAAACAAAGGGCACGTGGAAATGAAATGCTCTATACCATTGCAAAATGTGCACCCTTTGGCAGGACTGGCGGTGACAAATGATTGTTTACGAATGGAATTCTTTTTATGATTCACCTGTTTTCCTGACCTGAATGTAGTTTTTTCAACGCTCTCCATTATACGTACTCTTCTTTCCAAAAATTTAGACATCAAGTCCCACGAAGGTAGCTCGTTAATCGGTGCATGCTCTTCCCACTTGGATTGTGTTTCAACATCTGATTTGGTGGTGACAATATGGATGAGAATGCCGTTCAGTACTTCGTCGTTAGTCGCAATTGTTTGTAGTGCCCGAAGATGACTACCAATTTTATCGCTGAGCTCTCGTAAGCCATTTGCGGAACCTTCTGCAACACCCTACAAATTAAAAATCTCTTTAATATGTGCATTAAATTGAGCTGTTTTAATATCGAAACGTCTTTTTAGTAATGTTACCGCCTTTTCATAATTTTCCGCGTTGATTTTCAAAGACCGAATAGCATCTAAAGCGATTCCACTTACGCACGACCTTAGGTGTTGAAACTTCTCGACGCTTGACAAGTTCGTCTCCTTATCCACGACTGCACTGAACATTGCCCAGAAGTCTGGCCATTCCGTAATTACTCCACTGAATCGGGGTAACTGCAACGGTGGCAAACGAGATCTTGGGACCACCGTGATGGAGGGCACTGCGGAATGTTCTTCCATCGTCGACTGCCGACGAGTGGAGGATTGTGCGAACGTGGAAGAACGTGATCCAAGGCTTTTCGTAACAGCAGCTTTGACAAATATAAATGAGTCGAGGAATTCCATACGCGTTTCGCTCTCAATTTCGGCGTTGTCTTCCTTCTCCAGCTGCGACTGTTCCTCTTCAAATTGCACCTGCATTCTTTCCAACTGCTCCAGTTTTACAATTATACTGGATTCATCCGCTCCAAGTAGGCTGTGTTCCTCGATTTCAGCTCTAAAGTTGTTAACTTGCCTTCTGAACCACAAACTTTTTCGCTTAAGAAATGTGATATTTGGGTTCTCCGATTGTTCTCGAATCGCCTCACGTCTTTTATTTGCTCGAGTCATTATGCTTGTGTAAAATTGAACAAAAGCAAAAGTAAGCCAGAAAAAAACGGTAACCGATCAGGCGATCCAACTGGAGATGTTAATAACGGAGCTAATCCAACAACTACTGCTTCAGAGATACACGTAGGTATCACGTCGGGGTCACCAATGTTCGGGGAAGACAAGCGTTTTTGTCTACCTACCTACCTACCGTTTTGTCTATACAAAGAACTGCGATGCAAAAAAACAATGTGCCTCTCAAAAACTGATTGACAACAAGCGAACGAATTGCTTTATTGCATTAACATGTGTGCTATTTATACGAGCTAGGGTGACACAATGTAAAGAGCAAATTCCAATAAATAACAATGAGCGCGAGTTAACATAACATATATCGTATAATTACAAATGATCATTACGCTCGTCGCATTAAGCTGGGGACAGACTTAGTTAAGTATGGCATCTAAATCTCGTAGCTATGATCTGGACAGAAGTCTTGTCATAATAATTATCATAGGGATAAATATTTTTAAGTTTTCAAAGACTTTTATTTTGAGACTTGTATTATAAAACGTTTTTGATAATAATTATGAGTGCGAAAAAATTTTGTATATAGTCCCAAACGGGGCCCAAACCAAGCCCCAACTAATCACGAACTGGTCCCACCATAGCCCCGAATTGGTCCCCAACTAATCCTGAAATGCTCCTGAACAAGCCCGCCCTTTAAGACTTAAAAATTTCTTTTCGCGCTCATAATTATTTTGAAAAGACTTTTATATACGTCTTAAAATAAGAGTCTTTGAAGACTTAAAAATATTTATCTCAATGATAATTATTATGAAAAAACTTGTACAATATAAGTCTTAAAATAAAAGTCTTTGAAGACTTAAAACTATTTTTCTCTCTGATAATTATTATGAAACCAATTTTATAATATAATCCCCTTATTCTAGAACCCGAATTTTCGTGATTCGTAATTTGTAGCTACGCTACGAAAAATGAAAAATCCACATGCTGCAACTCTTGCGGAAACATGTGCAGCATTGCCAGCTATCAGTTGTTTTCGAAGATAGCTGAATGAAGGAAAACAAAGTGGAAAGGAATTAAAAAAAACACTCATCATGTGCTTGCTTTATTGTAAAATTGGTGCATTTTACATATTTTGAGGAAAATTATGGATTCTGATGTATTTGCAATTATAGCAGCAGAGTAAGCGGGCGCTATGGCAATGGATTCACAAAGGTATGCGTAGCTGTCGGGCATAGTAACCATGGGCGCATCTATGTCAGCTTCTGGTTGATTTGTTGAACCACAAGCCAGAACTCCTCCTATGCCTGAAGCTCTGGTTCTCAATCCAGTAAATGCAATAACAGCTTCTTCCAATCCATTGAAAACATGCACTTTGTTAGGTCCACCACCTGTTGCGCTTGCTTCTGCCTACGGCCGCGCTTAGGGATTATAACCATTACTAAGTAGAATTCTCCTTTCTGTGTTGCGGGGAAGAGGGGCTTCCGCATGTCAAAGGTATACAACATTTCTTGTGCATATCACTCCGGCTACGCCGTCCACAGTATTTTTGCGCAGAACCCACGTCGAAATTCGCAAAAAAGTGCATAGTGCAAACCGAGTTTATTAATAAGCTAGTGGTAGGAAATTTGAAACATTTATCTTAAATAAAATGTGAATCCTTTGATTACACGTGTATGTTAAAGTTTTTGGATTCGGGTTTGGCGTTTGGACACAACAACCGAAAATCGTTGTACATTAACTAAACCGGACCCAAGTTCCTCGATGAGGGGCAACAAATATTCTTATTTGCTCGTTTATATAAAACAGTGGATAAAAATATACGTATATGCGAAAGGAAAATTTATCTGTTTAAATGAACACCACCAATATTTCTTGCAAACCCACATCAATTCTCATATTTTATTTCGCCTCCGACACAAAATTGTTTTCGTACAAAATTACGCAAAAAAGCTTACTCGTTCGTTTTTAGGCATGCCATTGTTACGAATTTCGAAAGTTCGAAAATACGACTCGGATTTCAGCATACTATTTCTACGATTCGTG